ACACACAGACATATTAAGAAACGTGACTTGCCAGCCTGCTGCTAAGTACATATGGACTCAAGTGCCTGTGTGTGTGTGTTGGCTTATGCGTCTATACATATTTAGCATGTTATGAAAAATGTATACAGAGGCCGGCTCAAATAGGTCTGGTGTCTCGAATGCAACGCCTTTGTTTGTCTAGCACGTCCCAACAGCAGCCAGCATGAGCAGGAGCTGGAGCAGGAGATGGTGCGGGTGCTGGTGCTGGTGTCGGCCTAGCTGAGGCTTCTATCAGACGGCATCAGGCCCGCCAGGCTGCCCATTTAATGACAAAAGTTATGACGACAAATGACTCAGTTGACTTTCACTAGTGGAAATCAGAGCTCTCGGCTCTCGTTGTCGTCTGCCACAATGGGACTATGAATCATATTTCTCCTACTGCTTCTGTTGATTTTCATTCTCATTTTCATTTTCATTTCCATTGCCATTTCCATTTCCATTTTCGCATTTCACTTTTTCACTTTTGCCACTTGGGCTGCACAGCAAATTTTTAAAGCGTGCGCTTATTTATCATTATGCAAATTGTTAATTAATTTTATATAAATGTACATACATAGATTTTCATAGATGTAGAGAAAAAATTAATTACGCATAATGTGGGCGCCTTTATGCATGGCAAATAATTACGACGCGCAGCAAAGTCGCTGCACTGGCTGAAAAAATTTATGCAAATTGCAATTTGTTAATCAACTGCATTTAGAGTAAATTGAATAAGGGGAAACAAAAAACTTATCGCACTGCATATACGGTTTAATATTAAAGTTAAAGCTGGCCTTATCACACGCTGCGTACGATAAATTGAAAATTGCATAATAATAATTTCCCATGGCTGATAATAAGGCATGTAATTTTATATTTACAAAGCGCATTTAAATCTATTTTATATTTGTGATAAATTGAAAACCAAAATATATACAGCTAAAATTAACTAAGAATTTTGCAGTCGGGCATTGCCGACTGCATAATACTCGTGCTCCAAAAAATGTTTCTGTTGTTATGTTTTAGGAGAGGCAAGAAAAAGAATATTTCTAATCTAGTGTAACATAGCTGCAAATGTTAAGTTCACTGCAAATTACGGGACATTTAAAATAAACAAATTATTTTGAAAGTATAGATTTTTGTTCTTTATAACACATAATATTCCAAGATTTTTACTCTTTATTCATTGATGAGTGTATCGATGGGCGTATGGATGGACAAAACAGCCAGACGAGCCAATATACTCTTTTTCACTCCCTCTTGATGTATATAAATAGATTTTGTTTCAGCTCAATTTTGTTTCCATTATAATTAATGTGAATGGAGTATGTCATCTTTTATCAATACATGAATGTGGCTAATACTAAATTATGATAAAAATATGCAGAATTTGCATTCATTGCATTTCATTTGTTGCTGATTAGCACGAAAAAAGGAATTAATAGCTTGGACAATTGTCAGCCCTTGGTTGCATTGGCTAAAAGGCAAACAAGTGGCTAAAATCTTAAGAGTAAGCCAAATAAAGCTGGCTTAGTTTCGCCAGATCAGAAACAGAAATAAACAGATAGAAAGAGAGAGAAAGAGAGAGAGCGTGCATAAACTTGTTAGCCATAAATTAAGATAATATTACGCCATTTGCCGCTAAGCAAGCGCCTGTCAATATTTGTGCATTGTGCACGGCCCTGCGATTTGTAAATCACATCAGGCCAATAATAAATTGGCTAATAATAATTGCCAAAGCACATCGGCAGACAACTTCGAAAGGCTCTAAGGCACTTCTGGGCTCCGGCTTGCTTGCTTATCGAGTTTTCTCTCGAAATTTATGTTTTCATTTAAGGTCAATAAAGCCACACACACACACACACACACTGACACACCAACGTTGAGCATTATTTACTGATGCACAAGCCGTAGGCGAAAATGTGCCACAAAATGTTTGCTCGGCCTGGTATTAATTCAATTTTATTACGCATACGCAGCGTGCGTCGCACAGAATGACATCGAGTAAATACAAGATGCACTAGAGTGCACTTGCATTCACTCAGTGTGTATGCCTGCAATGCAGCAGCTTGAATTGTTCACCGCCCACCTGCAATCGAGACACGCCCACTTCTCCTGCTGCTGCAGCAATTCATTAGCGTACTGCTTTGATTGTTTGGCCTATTAGATGTGCACTTCAGTTGACTCTCGCGAGGCATAGAAACATTTATAGTAATACCTTGAATTAGTGTTCATTAGGAGCAGAGAGCTCAACTTCGATAGGCAATTTAGTAATTATCTTTAATATTCTAGAGAATTGCTAAATTTTGATTGAATTCTAGAGTATTTATTGAATTATATTAATATAATTCATAAGTATATATTATTATATAATATTACAGTAGCATTATTTGTATACCCTGAACCCATTTTCAATGGAAAATCGGGGTATAATGGTTTTGTTGAAATGTATGTAACAGGCAGAAGGAGGCTTGGCAGACCCCACAAAGTATATACAGTGCTTATCATAATTATAGCCCACTTTTAATCCACTTAAACGAATCGGCTGAAAATTTTTCCCAAATGGCATATTTTCTCAAAATCTTCAAAAATGAGTAGTTCAATATTTCATTTATGAATGGCAAAAAACTTTTTCACTTCAAATTAACGATTTAATAACGATTTCTGAAAAAGAAGTAAAAACAAAGAAAAACAGCACCAATTGCTGTATCAAAATTATAGCCCATATTCATATTTTGGTAAAAAAAAAAAAAACGAATTCGTTGCGGATTGATGGAAAAACTAATATTAATACTTAGTCCGGCTTCCATTTGCCTTAGTTAACTCAAAAATTCTCTTCCTCATTGAAACCACTAAATTTAATAAAAGGTCCTTTTCGAAACTTGGTCATTCATTTAGAATTTGTGTTTTAAGATATCCAACTGTCTCCAATTGGCGATTTTTGGCATACACACATCTTGTTAGATTACCCCAGACATTTTCTATCGGGATGAGATCTGAAAAACAGGCTGGCCAGTCAAGGACATCAACATGAAATTCCTCCAAACACTCCTTTGTACGTCTGCTCACATGGATTCTGGTATTATCCTGTTGGAAAACCATTGGTCTCTCACGTAATTTCCTTAAATATGGAATGAGACTACTATCCAGAGTCTATCCTCCAAAGTCTGTCCTTGAAAAAAACATAGGATCCTTCCTCAAATCATGCTACAAAGTATCAAACCCATCAGGACCATCCAGGTTAAACTTCTTTCCATCAGAAAATATGAACTGTTAGGGTAAAAATTTATAAATATACTGTAAGCCAAAAGACGATGATTCAAACGCGCGTAGTAGCGCGCGGTCGCAGTATGTCTTTCGGCAAAATCAAGTCGGGCAACCTTGTGGCGACTTAGCACTATGGATGCTTTGGTCAGTTTAGACCTATTTATGATTCCGGAGCTCTTAAGTACTCGCCAAACAGTCATCGCTGACATAGATTCGGCCACATGTGAGGCCAAAGCTGTACAAGCGGTTGAGCTTTTGCTGGTTTCTTAATATTTTTGCGCAATTAGTAACGGGTGTCGCCTAGTACGTTTTCTTGATCCTTATTCTTCCGGATATCCAAAAAAAATTTTAATTACATTTTGACTTATTTTCAGCTTACTTAAATACCGAAATTGAATTTTCATTATTGTACTTATATTATTGAAATTTAAATATTACCTATATCTAATCTTACTTACAACTCGCCAATAATTGTTCGCCATTTATCGGTGTCTGTAAAGAAACGTCATTTGCTCACAGTCTGAGAAAGAAGAAGAAAATCTCAAGGAGCGATCGATTGGCCTACGCTCTCTTGTTATGAAATATTTCAGCAGTTGAATTTAGTTGTCACAAAAGTATGAGAATCAATTTAATGTATTTCCTCTACATATCAATTATCAGTTTACAGAGCAGTGTGCTAAATATTTCTCCTTTTAAAAACTGCATTAAATTTTAAAATATTTTTTGATCTATTGAACTTTTTCATATTTAATCGAACTCATTTTTCGGAGTACACAACATGAAGTGCAGCGCTTTGAAAGCGCTTACTTATTTTGGATTTTTAATATTTTAGGGCCGTGGCGAGGCCTGGCTAGGCTCGGCTAGGCTAGGCTAGCGACTGCCGCTGAGCTTTGTGCAATTGCTTTTCCCGGATATTGTTGTTAGTTTTTACTTTGGAGTTTGCATTTGGCGTTTTTGTTTGCATTTTATGGTTCTTTTGTTTTGCTGCACGGCCTGCATTCAGATTGCTTTCGTTGTTATTATCCATGTTGCTGTTGTTATTGTTGACGATGCTTGGCTGCTGTTGCTCCCGTTGCTGTTGCTGTTGCTGTTGCTGCCGTGTCCTATTTGTATCCTGTCGGCTGTGGCACCTCGCACACATTTATGTCTATTGGCGCGCGTCCATTTCCATTTCATTTCCGTTATTGCAAAACTTTTCGTATTAAATATATTTTTCTCTGTTTTGTTTCGCAGGCCGCGCGCTGCGATTGTTTCATTTCGATTGTTGTTGCTGTCGCTATTGTTGTTGTTGCTGTTGTTGTTGGTTTTTGCACTTTTGCAAAGTTGTTTGTGGCTATTATTTCGGTGCGCCCGTTGCCATTATTGCAGTTGTTTCCTTTATTGCTCTAGCAAGCATTTGCATTTGCATATAAATATATTAAATATATATATATATATAGAAATATTTATATGTACCTGCATTATGCAGCTTCTCTGACATACTTAAGAGTAGTTAAAGAGCTGAACCTTTCAGCTGAATTACAATGCAATTTGTTTTAATTGCCACAAGCCCAGCGCCCAACGCCCAGCGCTATTCACTGAGGCAGCCCCAGTCCAACAAATTTTACGCTGATTAGCCAGCCAGCAATTGTTGTTATTGTTGTTGTTGCTGTAATTAGCATGTAGCACTGCCATAAATAAAATTAACCGCAATGTTACAAACAACATGGTCAAACTACAGTAAAGCCTCGTTAGCAGCGAGCAAAGTTTTGTATTGCCCCAATCAGATTCATCATTATATGGAAATAATTCAAAAATAATACAAAAATTTAGCTTGAATTTTGGTTGTAATAATTATTTTCTTAGGTTTTCCTAAACATAGTTTTCCATCGATTAAATCTTACTAGCGAGTGCAGATTTAATGTTGTCAGAGATATTCGAAATATTGATAGAAGGAAGGCACGAACTCGTGTAGCTATATCCATTATATAGTTGCCTGGATAGCTTATTTGCTGCGAAGCTTAACAAAAGGATTTAATTTTTTAAAACGGTTTTTCGTGCGCAAATTAAACAAATGTTTTCGCATATTTTATGGTCCAGCGCAGTGTGCAAACTGCACGATTCGCAGCCGACCACAGAATTTTGCGCATTTAAATGAATGATACGAAATGTCAGCAAAATGCTCAACCGCAAATCGCAAAATTTTTTGTGCTGTTTTTGGATATTTGCTTCAGTCTTCAATTATATATATATAATTTTTTTTTTTTTGTCTTTTACTTGTTTTTGCTTGCTTCAACTCAGAGAGGATTATGGTTGGGGCAGAAATGGGGCCTAGAAAAAAGCTATAGTTGTACGGTGGGTCGACCTAGGAAAGAACTGCATCCTTGAACCAGAGAGACATGCGATCATCGCGAAAGCGCTTGAGTGGCTCATTCTGAGTGTACATGCGCACCAGGGAGTGAAAGCGATTGTGCTTGAACTCATTGCCGGCTCTGAGGCGATCGCTGAGCAGCGCCGCCTTTTCGCCCAGCTCCTTTGAAGTAGTCATCGACATCTGCAGCTCTTTCTTCACGTAGTCGGCCACCTGTTTTATGGAGGCTTTGCTTCCGTCGAAGTGTATTGGATTGTCGGTCTCATCTTTCCCCTTGGACTTTACGGAAATATTATCTCCGCCGCGATCGGTGGCCTTCGACTTGCCCGAAACACGGGAAACATTATCCTCTTCATGATCTTTAGACTTGGACTTGACCGAAGCACGCGATATGTTATCCTCATTGTTCACCTTTGCCTTGGATATGGCAGAAATACGAGATATATTATCTTCATTGTGCTCTTTGGTCCTGGATCTGGCAGAAGCACGGGATATGTTATCTGCATTGGGATCATTCGTTTTGGATCTAACCGAAGCACGAGAGATGTTATCTGCATTGGGATCTTTGGCCTTGGCTCTAACCGAAGCACGGGATATGTTATCTGCATTGGGATCATTCGCCTTAGATCTAACCGAAGCACGGGAGATGTTATCTGCATTGGGATCATTCGCCTTGGATCTAACCGAAGCACGGGAGATGCTATCTGCATCACGATCAGCCGCCTTGGACCTAACGGAAACATGAGATATATTATCTGCATTAGCTCTTGACTTGGCTGACACGCGCGATATATTATCATCATCGTAGTTCTTGGCGCGCCTCACGGAAACACGTGATATAATATCTCCATCCCGATCAGCCGCCTTGGACCTCACCGAAGCACGCGATATATTATCTGCTTGATGTTCACTGGCTCTAGATCTCGTCGAAACACGAGAGAGGTTGTCCGCTCTGGACCTGCCCGAGCCGAAGGAGTCACTCTCAGCTCTAAAGCTACTTTGAACGGATCTGTCGTCCTGATGCTGGCCCCCGGCACCCGACCGATGGTATCCCTGAGAGGCATTGTCTGCCCCGTTGCTTTGCCTCGATGTATTGAAATTGGGCTTCGCCGTCAGCGTGATGTTCGACTCGGTGCGTTTGCGGTCGTGCGAGGACCCGCTCTCATTATCCTCATGCTGGCCAGCCTTCGACTTGGCTCTACTCTTACTCGATGGGGCTACTGATGGCTCGACAGCGAGAACGGACACGCTGCTGACTCGCGAGGCTGCATCGCCTTTGCGGACGGGCATTATAACGGTCATCGAGTTTCCGCCACGCCCCTTGTCAGACAGGTCCGGCCTGGACTGGCGGCCGGCGTTAATGCGGCCGTCCTCAGTAGCGAAATGTTTGGCCGCCGCCATCTCCTCATTGATGGCCTTCGATATGGAGACTTCGCCCCTCTGCGACTTGGCTGCCTTAACATCGCCTGGCCTAACGAGCGAGTCCTGCGAGACTGATCTGTTGGTATGCTGCTTTGGTGGCGGCCAGGTCGCATACACTGGCTCCGGATATGTGGTGCTCCTGGGCATCTTATAATCATAGCGCTGGCCCTGGCTCTCGGGCGGCCCCACGCTGAACGGATTGAAGAGTATGCCCTCGTCATCCACAAACATGTTGGCTATGTGCTTAATAAACTGCTCTAGATTTATTAAGTGTTTTCGCTTTGATTTTGATACAGGCTTACTTACAAACTAGCTGTTAAAATATTGTTGGGGAGGCTTGTGCGGATCTCCTTCTATGTGTTTCGAATACCAAAAATAATCAATTCCGTATTATCTATGCTTTAGCGCATTTTATTTTTCTGAGGCCAGACAAAATGTCTACACAATTGGAAATTTTTTAGGGAACTAAATGGAAGGAGTTTCAAATCAATTCGAATAAAACGTGTTGTAAATATACCGAACTGTTTTAGTAGTCCGAGCTGCATACTTCAAATGTTTGCAATGTTTGCATATATACTCATATATACTCTAAATATACCCTGTAATATATTGATATAGTTATCTGCATTGTTCCAGGACAGTTTCTCAGGTTATTCTGATCTCTGTGCAAGCACCTGGTCATTCAATTATTTTTATAATAATCAATATAGTAAATATAAGAGGACGTAAGAGCTGTGATTGCAGTCAATTCATTAATCGTAGAGATGAGAAAGCAAGGACAGTATAAAAAAATCCTATTTTATTTAAAAACCTCTCAAAACAAATGAAAACAAAATAAATAAATGAACAAACATAAAAGAAATTAAATTAAAAAGCATAAAATAAATTCTCTTAAATCCTCAGTTTGTTTTAATTTAATTTAATTTTTTTTTTTTTTAATTCCATTAAGGCTTCGGACTATGGGTTAATGGTCATAAAGAACTAAAATAAAAATAATATAAATTTGCTGCTACTGCGCTTGATATATATGAGGGATATATTTTAGATTTAATGTATCTTAACTGTGGCTAACAATATGGCTATGCTTCCGTGGACGGATAGACGGACAGACGGGAACAATAAAGTTTATTTCAGAAAAGAATAGATGTATATACTTTCCCCTAATACTAGTTATCAAACCAATATATAAACTGATGGTGCAGGTCCGTTAGCCGCCAGACAGAGGGACATGCCTGGATGAGCTCAGCTTCTGTTTTGATCCACACCACCACACCACCACATTCTTCGGACTGTGACATAGTATGTACTCGTATGCAGCAAATCTCTATAGCCTGCACAAATGATCAACGACGTTAGATACACTTCCGCCGATTGACTGCCTAAGAAAGAGCTGCATCTAAATTTACACAAATGGTAGAAGCTCACACTGAAAAGAGCAAACAGCAACCGACGTTCTCTATTATTAGTTTATTGTGGTTAAAATCTGGAGTAAATCATTCAGCGTTTCCTCTTTGGCACTTTGGAATGCAGAATTTGTGTATGTATATGTGTATAGCATATATCCTATTAAAAACTTGCAGACACACGACTCGGCGCTTGTTGTTGTGTGTTCAGTCGTAATTCGCTTTCAGGCGCTTGGTCAGCTCAGCCGCCTTGTCGAAGAGAGTTTTTGATATCCTTAGGGTTTCCCTCAGATCCCTTCGCAGCGACTCGGCCACTTTCTTCAGCGATGGCGTTACCCTGTTGAGTGTGTGCGATGTCCTCGACTCGCGGGACTCTTTAACCTTTAGCGTTGATCGAGATCGGCCATTGGATGTCAGCTCAGGCTGGTAACTCGATCGGCTCTCCTGAGACCGCTGCGAAGCACTCACATAGCTCGCATGGCCTCCGGCATGCTCACGCCTGCTGGTGCGTGAGGACGAATGCTTGGGCTCACTTCTGGGCTGGTCGATCGATCTGGTGTTCGATCTGACCGATGCACGTGAACTCTTCGGCTTGCCTCCTATGTGATAGTGTGATCCCTCAGGTATTTGCCTTTTGGAAGCGCTCATCTCCCTGTTGATCGCCTGCGAGACCGCGACTTTGCCCAGTTTCGATTCGGTTTTGTGGAGAACGTCGGCGCTCGACTTGGTCATGGTGGCCTGCGATACGGATCTGTTGGTGTGCTCCTTCGGCTTCGGCCAGGTGGCGTGCACAGGTGGCGGAAAGGATGGGGTGTCGGGGGCCGTGTAGTTATACGACGCTTTGGTATCGATTGGACCAATGTTGAAGGGATCGAAAGGTTCATAGTCCTCGTCCATTAGAAACATTTTGGCTAGCTTCAAAATACTTTCCTTTTGCTTTGGATACAATTTTACGAAATTAATCGACTTTCGCACATTTACAATGAATCCAGGACAAAATGCTGGAGGCACAAGTCCGTTTTCTGCGTGTTAACTAGCCAAAATTTAATTTATTTCGTGTTTATATTTTAGTGCATTTTTATCGACCCGGATTTCGATAAACTCGTTTACACTACTATTCCACTGAAAATTTAAAATAAACTGAATAGAAAGTCGCAAATGAGAGACGACTATGAAAGTGGAAACGACAAATCTCTCATGGCATGCTGAACAGAATTATCAAAGGAATTATACTCGATATAAGACAGATTCTTTACTACCATCGAATAACAAAAGGAAATACCTTCCGTCTATCAAAACTAAGTTAAATAAATATTATTTCAATTTAAGTTTTTCTATTATTTAGAATTTTTATTTTTATTGGCAAGTCCAGAAAATAGACTTGCACAAGATTTTCATAGATATATCATATATAGGTACAGCTCAGATCGGTCAGTTAGGCATTCGTCAGCGTAGAGTGCCTCATTGAGACTATGTGATGTTGTTGTAGGCCTCGAGGCGATTGCATAGCTTCGTCGCCTTCAGGATTAGCGACTCTGCTGTCTTTATGGACTGAGTTAGCTCCTTCCTGATAGAAGCAAGGACAACCTTTAGCACGGGTTGGGCATTGCCACTGTCTGATGTGGCGCCTTTCACATAGAGATTCATTTGAGCTGGAAACTGGCGGATAGCTTTGCGCGCCTTGCGATGCTTCCTTATGGAAACTTGGCTTCTAGTGGCCGACCTTAAAATGTGGCACGAGACGACCGACTCTGCCGTCCTTATCGAGTCCTCTAGCTGCTTCCTTATCGAAACAACGACTGCTTTCAGCATATCGGATCGTTTCGGAGTTCTGCGCGAGCGTCGATGAGTCCCTAGAGAGCCTGAGTGACCTGAAGTCTTAACCTCTAAGTTCGATTCACTCTGCTCGAGGACAGGGGAATTAGTTTCCGCATGAATGTCTGTTGCAGACCCTATTGTATGGTAGGATTCTGTGAGCTCGAGATCAGGGCAGTTCATTGAATCTGGGCCTCTTCTTGTAGTCCTTGATGCGTGGCCCGAAGGCTTTTCCTCTACATTCGATTCTGGGTGCTCGAGCTGAGGAGCATTCACTTCATGATGATGCATTCCCTGGCTTTTTGCCGTGGAAACTGATGGGTGACCTGAAGTCTCCTCATTCGAGATCATTTTCGAATGCTGACCGCCCTCTGCAGCTTGACTCGACTTCAATTCGACTAACTTTGCATATAGGTCATTATGCTGATCCCTCAAAATCTCCCTAGTTCTCAACGATGTGGCCGAAGCTCTTGGCGCTTCTAGCCTGCCGCCCGCCGATGCCCGTCGCCTGAGCATCGTACTCTTTTTGCGTGAACTCATTTCCGAGGTAGCACGAATATTGAACGAATTGAAGAGTACCTTGTTATCAATCATATTAACTTTATTAAAACTCGAAGTTAGTCTACGGCAAATACTAGCACGTTGTGCACTCACAGTTTAATCCAGGGAAACAGTTACACTCACGATTTATCTCTGAAAGGTATGGCCAAAATAATATCTAAACAACTAAACTTTGATTGAATTTCATAGCCCTGGATTTTTACTGTGTTCAGTGCCAAAGTCAAAAACGAACTGAATTCAATTGCCCTCAAAATGTTCCATTCGAAAGTTGAATGTGAGTATTAACGTCTTTTACATGGAATGCTTTGTCATGAAACAGCTTCACTTATTGGTATATTATGAATACGGAATGATAATGGCTGCCAGTGTAAGCTCTTTGGCATTAGGCAAGACAAAAATACAATTTAATTCACTAGACTAAACGCCTTCTCGAGGCGCCTACGCTCTGCTGTCGTCAGCCGACTCCTCCTTGGGTATATTTTAATTAAAGAAGCCAAAACACCGACATTTGAGCCGCACATATTGTAATCAATGTTGCCAAGTCTTCGAATGTACGTGCTGATAAGGCAGTTGCCAGACAAAAGGCAGCCACTGTCTCTGGCTGGCAGGAGGCTCTTGACAATTTACTTGCTGCATGCGACAAATTAATGAGTGGATGTGCGAGTGTGTGCGTGTGCGTGTGTGTGTGTGTAACTCTTTTGTTGTTTCATCTCTGTCAAGTATTTGTCAAGTTTCTATATACATATATATGTATATATAATAGGCATTGCCATTAACTTCGTCACATTGTTTTGAAAGGTATTCAAGGCAAGCAAATGCCAGTTGAAAAATATTCATCAAGCTATTGCCACATGCAGGCTTTTATTTTATTTAGATGCTAAATCAGTTGGTGTAATTACAAATTCGGCATTAACTTCGAAAACTTGAAATAATGGCTAAATACCAGAGACCTAATCCAACGAATTCATTTCAGCAGGCATCGGGCGACTGCATTGGCACCGGTATCTACGGCAATGGACTGGTCTTTGGTAACCAGAGATATCCTTTCCAGGTGGATAGGATGTCAATGCAACCGCCAACAGTTAGCGTCTCTCAGTACAAGTCCCAGCCGGACTTGCCCCGGCAGACCATCTCCAGGGCAGCAATACGGCGAGAACGGCGGATGCCACAGCCTCGAACAGCTCAGGCTCCACACGCCATGTCCCGCTTCCCGTCCCAGTCCCAGTCCCCGTATGTGCACCAGAAACGGCAGCAGCAGCAGCAGACGCCGATGCGACAAGAGCAGCAGCTGCAGCGGCAGCAACAACAGGAACAGCAACAACAGCAGGAACAACAAGAGCAACAGCAGCAACAGCAACAGCAACAGCAACTGCCAACACTGCAGCAACAACAGCTACAGCTGCAGCAACAGCTTCTTCAGTTCCAGCAGCAGCAGCAGCGACAGCAGCAGCTACAGCAGCAGCTACAACAGCAACAACAACAACAACAAATGTACGGTAGCTGGTGCAGCAATTCACAAGCCTTTCCCAACAATCCATTGTCGCAAGTCTACAATTACGGAACGAATCCACTCAGCTCAAGTTTTTGGCCTGGCTACACTATGATCACATCCCCAGATTCGAGTATACCTTTCGCCTTAGGTCCCACAGATGTTAATGAAATCAGTAATACCATTCTTTAAGTTAAATATATTTATGCGGTGCTTTCGGTCTATTTAACTAAATGAGTTTTACTGCAACGTTTTCTCTCCATAGAATTGAGTAAACTTCTGTCTCTTTCATTATATTTCCAAGATTGACCATAATTCAAATCATCTATACATATATGTATAGCATTGCCGCAAGCCTCGACAGAATTTCGTGTAACCCTTACCTACCGTTTACACATCATCCTCACAGCAGGATTCGGGCGTGTGATGGCTGAGCGAGTGTCATTTAGTGGTGAATTTCCGTCTTAGTTGCCAACGAATGCCATACGTGACATTTTTCAAATTCTGTTTTTAGCATTCCTTAATCGAGCCACATACATATATACACTTATATATATATATTGAAGTGTGTGTGTGTGGAATTGAAAATGGCATATCTGAATACGGACAGCCGTTAGACAGGCACCTTCTAGTGGTTTTTGCTGTGGCCACGTGTGCCAGTGTCTGTCTCTGACATTTTCCCATCTATAGATTTTTCTAATTATTTTCCCTCTGCGCAGTTATTTTTAATATTCGTTGAGCACTTTGCAAATAATTGAAAGACTTTTACCTTTCATTTCGCCTTTGAAGTCGAAGTAAAAACAAATTCAATAAACCAGGAAATCCCATTCTTAATTGAATTCAATTATTTTTATTGTTAACTCTGAGCAGCAGAGAAATTTAAAATCCAATTAATTTCAAATTAAAGTCCAATAAACCTTAATTTAAACCAATCAATACACACATGTGCAAAAGGAATTAAAAATAGAAAATATTTAATTCTAAATAGAAATATGTTTGCAGTCTATGTATAAACATATATGTTTAAATTTGAGGTAATTAAAGTACTTCATTTTAGAATTTAAAATATATATATAATTTTTTGCAATATATACATTTAGATATAAAATTGTAAAAATATTTAGATATACAAAAACATATTTAATTATTGAACAATTGCGTGTGAATAACTGAAAATAGCCAAATGTATTTCAAGTATAAATGAAATGAAAATTTGGGAAATCCTTTTCACTTGCACACAGAAATCAATTAAAACTTTGGCCCCCAACTCATTTACATAAATAAACCAAGCTGAGCATAGCAGATTATCTAATAATTAATAGCATACGCCCGATGTCTTCGGCTTATTCAGCTTCTTGTGTCACAGCAATGTCTAAGCTGTCAAGTGCTCCACTTAAAAGGACTCGAAGCGAAAGTTGAAAGAGCGGCTCAAACGCTGCTGCGGCGCACAGACGACGCAACTTTGTCTAATGATGATCCCTAAAGTCAACTTGCTAAAGTAACAAGAGCTCACAAACGCACGCACACAAGCACACATAAGCACACACACACACACAGAGATAAGCTTATAGACACGGCTACTGCGCTGCTCATAAGCACACAATGGTATTAACGCCATAATTCGTAAGTTACAATATACACATTCACACACACAAACTTGCACACACACACACACACATGCGCACCGCAAAAGGATTAAGTTATATTAAAGTTGTGAACGTTGCATTTTAACTAAGTTTTGCACGCTGTGGCCCTGTGGCTGAGCCAGTGGCTGCTTTTGTGCCTTTGACACTTTTGGCTTATGGTGAATGCGAAATGGCGTCAATAAGTGCGTTGCAGCCAAGCTCCAAGTTGAAGCAGCCAAAGAGCATGCCATGCAAATTTAATGCCAATAATAATAATAATAATAATAATAATAATAATAATAATAATTATAATAGTAAGAATAACAGTAATAGTAATAAGAATAACTCGGCACATATTTACCCGACAGACTCAAGTCCGAAATATGACAACAATTTCCACACTGGCATGGAATTTCCCCGGAGCGCTGGCAGCGCCGCAGCCACAGCTTTCGGCTCCTGCCGCACTTTCATTCGCCTGCTTTTACTTTGTGGTATAATAAATTTATAAAATTTATACAGTATTCTTAAAAGGTAGAAAGAGTATAAAGCAGAGCAGCTCATATATCGCAAGCCTTTGAAATCTTGTTGCCAGCATTTTTTGCTCTCTTTACTGCATATTGGATTAGGATAAACGATTTTCAGTTATTTATATTTTGGATTTTTGATTCAGGATATATATAATATTGACTAGAGTTGTTTGTTTACTTCACAAATTCTAGCTTTTTCTATTAATTTTCAAAATAATTCTTTAGATAGAAGAAGAATTATATTAGAAGAGTGGTAAACAGTATAGAATAAGAGGGATATAAGACTATTTAGTATATTATTAAATCTTTTATATGTAGTCTGCCTGGTGTCTATCTTATATATCATCTACGTCTCTCTTATATTTTGAAAATAATCTGTCTCTCCCTTCCCATACATATGTCATATAGTCTATAGTTTATAGTCTCTATCTTATATATCATCTCTTATACATATAACTCTTATATTTTTTTAAGTATTCCTTCTCTCTTATTATCTTATCTTTCTTCCCATATATACATCATTTTTTTCATCTCACTTTTTTTGCTATTTCGTTTTTCATGTTTTTCTTCTCATATTTCTTCTCGGCTATCTTTCTTATATGTGTCCTATATATGTTTTATAACTCTCCTCAAATCTGTCTACCAATATCTATCTCCTAGCATTTCTTCTCATATTGCTCATCTTAAATAACTCGTTAACGTCTGTATGTCTCCTTTTTCTACCCCTGTTTCCTTGAACCATCTGCAGAGTGTTTGCTCTTCGGCTATCGTCAGCGAATTTTTCTTTTATATACAGGTTCTCGGCAGCAACCGCCGATGACCCGTGGTGGTGCATTCTGCGTGAAGTTACAGGTCAAGTATTCATTTTTATACCTGTCCTTCTCTTAATTTTCTTTTATTTCTCTCTCTCTCTCTCTCTCTCTCTCTCTCTCTCTCTCTGCTGTCTCACTCTGACGTTATACATTTTTAACGTGTGCGCATTTTTATGGGCAAACTTTGCTGGAAGTTTTTTAAATTTACAAAGCAGGAAAAAAACAAAAGGCGAACGGTCAAATATGAAAAGAGCTGCACGAAAAATGAATTCAAATAAATTGCATTTCTTCTGCTGTTAGTTTTGCGTTTGGCTCACTCGGTTTATAGGCACTTGGTCAAGAATTGAACGACTGCATTTAATTACTCTCGCGCCGCTGAACATTGCTTTTAATTGTTTTGCCTTTTGCATTTCACATTTCACAGTTCGCATTTTGCTTGTAATTTGCATTTTGAGCACTTTCGCTTGGAGCACGGCTGAAATTAGCAGCAGCTCTTAAGGATTATTGCACACGGCTGGCTCTGCAGCTGAGGCAGCCATAAACATTTTGGCGATTTCATCTTTAAGAATCCATATAATACTTAAGATGCCCGCTTTCAAGTGTGAAGCGTGCTTTTTAACCACTTACCGACGCATGCCATGCCTAATAAAACTTATGTGTGTGTATGCGTGTATGTGTGTGTTTGAGAGCCATAAACGACTTATATACACACTCACATAAATGCGGTCTTCAGCAGGGCTTTGCTTAACCCAGCAGAGTCGACTTGTTGAAGTGTTTACTGTTTGAGATCCCGCCGT